TTTGCTGACTTGTTGTGTGTGTGTTCCATGGCAGATTCACTGTGCTATTTGGCCGAGGTCTGCCCCAGGTCGCAATGGCCGGTTGGGACCGAATTGAACCGGCCTGTGTTTTCACATCGGTGCCCGCCCCACCTTTGAACCCGGTAGGCCGCCGTCTCAAAATGAACGGGCCCAACAGTTTGAGACTGCCAAGCCTGCACCGGTCCTCTGCCGAACGGCCCAGGCCCGTTCGCAGTTCACTGCACACAGTGAACAGTGTCAGGCAGTGAACTGGTGGTTTAACCTTACCCTCTCCGACACTTCTTACCGTGAGGTTGTGTGTTCCTTCTTGAGCATTGTGAGGTGTCGAGTGCGCTCAACCTTGAGAGTCGGCAATGTTCACGTGGAGCATCTGGGAGAAGATGGGCGGAGCTTTCTGAAGGGCCCTGGACGAAGCACTGGGTCACGGTCACCATGCCAACCCACCGGGAGTAGAGCACGCATGCTTTGCTGCTTGTCCTTTGTTCGGCTTGCTGCGCTGTTAGATGGGTACTGAAGGGCAGGCCAGCCCTTAAGGGAGACGAGACCGGGCGTCTTTAAATAAGCACCGGAAGGGGAACCATTGGCTATGATCGTCGTCCGGCTGCGACATAAAAGAATTCCTGGCACTTGGGGGCGGACATTAAATTGCCTCTGGATCAGCCAATGGTTGTAAGGCTCGCTGCACGCGAGGATAATCCAGTGCAGGGCTGGCCAGCTCAACAGATACTTGGGGCACAGGGGTGGGCCGGACACACACCTTTAGACACGCGACGCTCTCCAGATTGGTCAGGGACGCTGACGTCAAGTGATACTCAGGGGAACTAAGGGAGGGGTAAATTTCAGGTGATAAGTTCGAGCAAAATTCCATGCTGTCTTATCCACACAAATGATTCTATTTTTATGTTTTGATTAGTTAGGTGTACAGCCATTGACATCTGACAGACAACATTAGTTAGAACTGTTTCTTGTTCATGGTGCTTCTGTTTGTGGACTAATCAGGCTAAAAATAGTACAGTTTGTAGGAATCTGACTTACCTGTTGGGCCCGAATGTAAAGTCTCTGAAATAGCCACCAGTTAATTGGTCTGTGCACTAAGCTGCGGTAGGCATTTAGAGTGCACTAGTGCAGATTGTGTACAGGGCTGTAGCTTATAAGCAACAGGGTGGTTCCACAACCGGACGACCGGATCTTGCGATCGGCTAGACGCCCGATTGCCCACTTGGCTTAAGGACCAGAGGGTGACAGGTATGTGTTCCGCCAGCGTAGGGAAAGGTTGCAGCAGCAGAGGAGGGCTAGAGCAGCAGAGGCTAGCAGGGCCCTTGTAAATGAGGCCGCAGTTTCGGAAGCCATGGCCACCTCTGCGCAGCTGACTACTCAGGCCGGTAGTTCAGGATCTGTTGGGTCAACGGTCGCACAGACCCAGAGTCAGTCGGCTGGCGTTATGGCAAGCCCGCCGTTGGTGTTGACACCCGAGGAGGTCGCCATACAGTGAGCTGCTTCTCGCGAGGCACAACTACAGCAGGCTTTAGGAAAGACTAAGGCTGAGAAAGAGAGAATGATTAGGAGAAGAGCCATGATGCAGAGGAGAGAAGCGGACGTTAGTGAGTTAGAGGAGATGAACCCTGCAGAGATGGATGATGATGTGAGAACCATATGGTCGGTCCTATTAAGTGTAGTGGAGATGCAGGATCACCAGATGGAGATCTTACAGGACATCCAACAGAGTCTGCCTGTATTAGTCGGACGGATGCAGGCGACACCATCACCGTCCGGGCCAAGTGCCTGGTCCGTTGCACATCCTCCTCCTTTTGTCCCACCGGTGACTGGGGTATCCCCATATGTAGCCCCATCATCGGTTGCTATCGTTTCCCTGGGCATGCCGTTATCAGGAGGGCTCTCAGCAGGACCTAGTTTGCAGATTCCAGTACAGTCAGTGGTCACTCAGACACCGTCTCAGGTTGCGGTTAGCATGCATCCTGCTGTCTCGCAGCCTGCACAGCCGCAGGGTACACAACCCTTGCGGTTAGCGTGCCGCCTATATCACAGGGTCCACAGCCCAGGATGCAGGGACCGGGACAAACTCAGTGGGTGCCAAAGACGGCCATCGCCGCTCCGAAACCCTTTACAGGGGATAAGAGAGGTGAAGACCTCGACACGTGGTTGAGGGCAGTGCCAGTCTATGTTAGATGTAAACTTACCTTGCGGCACGAAGAAGTGCTTGTGGCTGCCTCCTACCTAGAGGGTAGTGCAGCAAGATGGTTGAGTGGTTTAGTGCAGCTCCAGGGGTATGGTCATGACTTCCGCGCTTGGGCGGTCACCCAGAAATTGGATGACTTCCTTAAGCCGGTGGAGGAAAGGTGACATAATCCTTAGGAGGCCCAAAGGGCCACTGACGCGATCCTCACACTGCACACGCAGCAGTTTAAGTCAGTAAGGGAAGCCACCGACGATGTTGAGCGTCTGATCTGTGTCCCGGGGGTGCGCTATGACCCCAAGGTTCTACTCACCTCCTACCTGAGATGCTTCTCTTTGCCTCTCAGGAACCAGTTGGCAGGTGAGGCCAACATCAATATGCACAATTTTCCTTCATTTAGCAAGAAGGCCCTAGACCTTGAGGCGAAGATAGGGCATGGACAGACACCCACTACAGACGGAATGCGGAAGACACTGCCTCCTAACTGAAAGGCGAAAGGGCGCATTATGTTTGTCGATAACGATGGTTCAACCATCGAATTAGACGAACACTTCCAGGAAGGAGTAGGTTCAGAGGCTGGCAGCGCCGAAGCTTCAGAGGGTGGCGTAGTCGCTGCCATAGCTCAGAAAGGTAAGGCGGCCGGTAGACGCCGCGGAGGCTCCCGATCAAGGAGTCAAGTTGACCCCAACGCTCCCCCATTGGAGAAGGCTGGTCTCACAGAGGATGTGTGGAGAGATCGGTACACATGACAGACTTGCATTTGTTGTGGCCAATACGACAATAATCAGTTTAAGTGCCGTAACAAGAAGGTGACCGACAAGATTCCGCCTACAATGGGGCAGGCGGTAGGATCCTCACATCCCGTTGGTAGCAATGTAGCCAGCACTTCAGGCTCTGCTCCGGGAAACACGTCGGGCCAGTAGGAATAGTAGTTGTTCCTACTAGGGTCGAGGTGGTGGAGACACCCTCACCATCTCGAGAGATGGCCCAAGCTACTGACTCCAACGTCGTCCCGCAAACACGTTCAAACCCATCGAGCCTCTGTTCGATGAATGTGTTTGAATCCTTAGAGGAGCTAGAGGAGGACTGGTCTAGATCAGACCCGCTAGCTTCTTGGACGGCCCTAGTCAAAGCCCCGAATGGTGAGATGTTCGTCAGAGAGGTAGTCATTGGCGGTCGTAAGGCCGGGGCCTATTATGACACTTGCTCGACAAGGAACTTTATTAGTCGCACGTGCGTTGAGAGGCTGCGGTTACAGGGGCGAGTGCAGCGCCTGAGTCAACCTGTGGAGTCGACCTGTGCCAACAAACAGCGCATGGTAGTCAACGACTACCTCCAAGAGGTTGAGTGTTGTTTCCCGTACGTAGGAGGGGAATTGAGACATCGCGTCTCATTCCTAGTGAGTGACGAGCTCCCAATGGATATGTTACTAGGAATGTACTACCTCTCTGTGGCTCAGCCCCGGTTTGACTGGGACCGAAAATGGTCAAACACACTTTGTCAGGTGGAGGACCGCCAGATTGCACAAGTTCAAAGCTAGTAGTCTGATCGAGTCCCATGGATGCATGTGTGCGGCCATGTTCTATAACTATTAGGAGGAGGGTATGTACTTAGTTTATGTCTCTGCTGCAGGCGAGCCGGTGAAAATGCCGCCGGAGATAGAGGGAGTAGTTGCCAAATACCCTGATCTATTTGAAGAGCCGACAGGGGTTGTAGAGAGGGAGGTCATCCATGCGATAGAGATTATCCCAGGGTCTAGTATCCAGCGATCTCGATGAGCTTCGCCCACAACTCAAGGAACTCGTAGAGAAGGGGTGGATCCGGCCGAGTGTCTCTCATTATGGATCTACAGTACTATTCGTACCTAAGAAGAAGGAGGGTACACTCAAGATGTGCATTGACTATAGGGGCCTCAATGCCATCACTGTCAAGAACAGAGAGCCCCTACCACGCATCGATGATTTGCTTGAGAGAGTGCAAGGGTGTCGGTACTTCAGTAAAATAGATCTGAAGTCCGGGTACCATCAGATTGCAATCCGGCCCGAGGATCAACACAAGACCGCATTTCAGACCAGGTACGGTCTGTACGAGTTTGTGGTGATGCCTTTCGGCCTTTGCAATGCTCCTGGCACCTTTCAGCACGCTATGAATCGGATTTTCCATGACTAATTGGATAAGTTTGTCATCATGTACCTCGATGACATACTTCTTTTTAGTAAGATTGTCGAGGAGCACGTTACACACTTGGACAAAGTCCTCAGTATCCTGCGACAGCTCAAGTTCAAGATCAACAGTGAGAAGTGCGAATTTGGCCGCACCCGTGTCTTGTACTTGGGTCTTGTACTTGGGTCATGAGATGACGCGAAGGTGGCCAACATTCGTGATTGGCCACGTCCTCAGTCTTTGACTGATATGAGATATTTCTTAGGAATGACAGGCTACTATAGGACTTTCGTTAAGAACTATAGTATAGTGGCCGCTCCTTTGACTGATCTGACCCGCCTTGACACCCCATGGGAGTGGACAGATGAGTGCGAGGCTGCTTTTAGACATCTGAAGCATGCGTTGACGCACTACGAGGTCTTGAAACTTCCCGATCTTGATAAGCCATTTATAGTCACCACGGATGTCAGCCAATATGGCATTGGCGTCGTGCTTGCGCAGCAGGAGGGGCCAAAGTTGAGGCATGTAGAGTACATGTCCAAGAAAATGCCGTCTCAGAAATTGGCTAAGTCCACCTATGAGAAGGAACTCTATGTGGTTTACAAGGCGCCGACCCATTGGAGGCACTATCTCCTTGGGAGGTTCTTCATTCTCAGGACTGATCATCAAACCCTGAGATGGATGAGAACTCAGCTGGTACTCTCTGACGCTCTCAAGCGTTGGATCAAAGCATTGAGCAGTATGACTTTGACCCTCAGTATCTGAAAGGGGAGTACAACAAGGTTGTTGATGCCTTGTCGCGTAGACCTGATTTCTCAGGTGCGCTGATTACTGAGTTCGATCTGACGGACAATGTTACTCAGTCCTTGGTGGAAGCCGAAGCCTATCGCGAGGACCAGTTCATGTCTGAGATCATACGCAGACTTCATGCGAAGGACAAGAAGACCTCTGCCGAGTTTGAGTTGATCAATGGCTTGCCGTTCCTTGAGAAGGCAGGGAATAAACGATTGTGTGTCCCTAATAGCGAGTCTTTGCGTAGTTTATTTTTAGGTGAGTGTCATGATGCCACCGTCCATTTTGGGTACAAAATGACCGCAGCTAATCTGCTGCAGTAGTTTTGGTGGCCCACGTTGATGCGAGATGCCTAGCTGTACGTGGAGACTTGTCAAGTCTGTCAGAGGGACAAGCCACGTACGCAGGCTCCTCTTGGGCTTTTGAAGCCCCTTCCGATTCCGGAACGGCCTGGTGAGAGTCTGTCCATGGACTTCATGGATACTCTGGTCACCGACAAGAGTGGGATGAGACACATCTTCGTCGTCGTGGATAGATTTAGTAAGTATGCTAGGTTAGTAGCAATGCCGGAAACAGTAAAGACGGAGTATGTGATCCGAATGTTCAAAGAGAACTAGGTTAGAGACTTTGGTTTACCAAAGTCTATTATCAGTGACAGGGATGTCCGGTTTACAAGTGAATTGTGGAAGGCCGCTGCTGCAGAGCAGGGAACCCAGTTGGAAATGACTTCTGGGAACCACCCAGAGGCCAACGGCCAGGCCGAGCAATTGAATCGCGCTGTACAACACCTGTTGAGGCATTACATCAAGCCCAACCAGGTGGACTGGGATGAGAAGCTTGCTCTCATCGCCAGCCTGTATAACAATGCTGTACACAGCGCCACTGGGGTGAGACCGAACAGTTTACTATTGACTTTCACGCCTAGACTACCCCTAGACTTTCTCCTTCCTGAGAATCAATCAACTGCTGCACTGGGTACTTTAGAGTTTGCCTACAGATATGAACAGAAGATGCAGCAGGCGGTAGAGCAGATGCAGAAGGCACAGGCAGCAATGATAGAGTCTGAAAACAGACACCGCTGACCTTCTACGTTTCAGGTTGGGGACATAGTTTGGGTAAAGTCCTTAGAACTGGGACAGGAGTACGGGATTTCCCATAAACTCATGCCACAGTACTCTGGACCATGGGAAGTCTTAGATATTGTCAGGACTGATCCAGATGGGCCATCTTATGTAATCCGAATCCCAGATCATCTTCGTACTTACCCCGTCTTTCACGCCTCCAAACTTGCACCTTTCAAAGAAACTGATCAATTTCCATCTCGCCGCTCAATGCTGCCCCCAACCATGGACGGAGAGATGGACATCAATGATATCGTGGACCACAGGGAACTGCCAACGGCGAGACCAACAGGTAGAGGACGTCCTCCGAAACCGAAGCTGCAGTTCCGCGTTCGGTTCCGACATCACACTGATCCGAAGGAGGACCGCTGGTTCACAAGGGAGGAACTCATGCAGACCGCTCCGCAGGTTGTAGCCCACTATGAGAAATCTCTGCAGAAGGGAAAGCGCCCTATGGTTGAAGACTGAGCTTCTCAGAGGGCTGTTGAAGCTAAGGAGGAGGGAATGCGAGGCTATGCCTCTATGAGCCCCATTTGGCCCTCTTATCGAAGCCTGTCAGCTGCCCTAAGTGAAGGCAGGGTCGACGAGGCCCTCAGGGCCTTATTTCGGCCACCGCGCAACTAAGGAAATTCAGGCAGTTGCGCAGTGCCAGTTGGTTGAAAGAATCCAGGCCCTGGGCCGCCTGTGTGAATGTATGGAAAGCAGGCCCTGGGCTGGATACGGATACTGGGCCGAACACAGCCCAAAGGCAGTTGGGCGCATGCAACCACTTCAGGCCCAAGGCCTGTTCTCGTTTGTGCTGGGCCTCAGGCTACCGGGGCCTACTGGAAGCTTCCTGGGACTGGACGCAGGCAGGCTGAGCAAGCGCTGCTGCGCTAATTGTTGGCTGGTGCCTACGCGCTCATGGGTGAGCAGGGAAGGAGCAGGCATCCATAGCCGAGCTGCGCTGCTGTAAGCTGGGTGTGACACAGGGTGGTCCTTGGGTGCTAGTGGCATCTGTGTTGGGGAACGAGGTTGTGAGTGTGGCAAGAGATACCTGGTGCTGGAAGCGTGCGACATTGGTCGCTGTATGCTCGTACTTCGGGAAAGCTGTTGTCGTCAACTTCGGCATTGTAGTATAGTCTAGATAGGATCTGCCAAATGTAGTCTGGGTGCCGAGCGCCAGATAGATATCAACTCTGGTTCTTCGTTGATGATGATGGGACTATTTCAGCATTGTCAATTATGAACTCTTGGTGTGTTCTTATTTGGTGAATCTCGTGATGCAATTCTGCTGTTGGTTCGAGGTCACGACTATCTGGACTCATATGTATGATGCTGTTTGATTGCTGAAGTTCGCGATTGCTCATCTTCCTTGCAATTCGACTTTAAATTCGTCTTTAAATTTTCAAAATTCAGAAACTAATTTTCCTGAGGCAAAAACTGTTTGTTAAACTTTGTTTGTTTGTTTTGTTTAGAAAAACTATGAAACTTATGTGTTTTTTATTTCAAATTCAGTAAAGATTTTGGATATGACCACAAGGCAAAAGTTGTTCAGTTTTTTCTGCATAAGCAGCATAACATTTTTTTTTCCAGAATTTTTTTTTTTTTTTTCCATGGCCGCAGCCACGGCCTCGGCCGCACATGGCTGCTGCCGGGGGGGATTCATAGCTGCCCAGCGCTTGCTCCAGCAGAGTGACGCCAAACTCGCACACCGTAAAATGAGGGTGAGCTCATTACTCCGCCCACAGATATACCGGGCAGCTTGCCTCTTGGGCAGTGACGTTCCATGCCGGTGGGTGTCCCCAACATACAGTACGTTCCTCCTTTTGGAGGGAACATCATTGCGGGTCTGATATCATCCGCTACAAGCCCTAGACTCAGACTACTGGAACAGTACCCCTAGACCTATGCCTACCGGACTTCTAACATTCACTCGGCCTCTGAAGGTATTAAATTTTGGTCCTTTTCTGCAAACCTACCCGCTGCTCAAGTATTTCCTACCTACGCCGGACTAACTTACCCGCTCCTTGAGTGTTTCCCAACTGCGCGTGCCCAGCCTACCGCTACCCCAACTGCAACCCAGCAAAACCACGGCCACAGGTAAAGTACCAGGCCCGAGGGCCTTCCAAACATACAAGTACTACCCTGGCGGGTCACGCACACAACCAAGCAATTATGCACTCAGACAGGCACACAGGAACCAGCAAGCATGCACACACACAAACTTAGAAATCTGAGGAGAAAGCGGCAATCTCAGCACGTCACACATTCAAGCGGCAAAACTCAGAAATCAGCAGAGTTCTCGGGCCATGATTTGCAGGTCGTTACAACGGTTACATCCCTCTTCTCCCTTGTCCTTCCTTTCCTCCGTTTGCCTCCTAACCCTTCCTTCTCTCATCCTCCCTCCCTCTCCTTTTCTCCCTCCCCTTTCTTGCATCCTCTTCCTCTCTCCCTCCCTCCTCCTCCATCGACCTCCCTCTTCATCCCTCTGCTTCTCTCCCTCCCTCTCCCTCCTTCCCTGTCTCTCTCCCTGTATCCCTCCCTCCCTCCCTCCCTCCCTCCCTCCCTCCCTTCCTTCCTTCCTTACCTTCTCCCTTAGTTTCGTTCAGTGGTTTATTTAGTTCATTTCGTTGACCAATTCCATCTCCACTCTTTACTTAGTGTCATTCATTCATTCCTTGATTTTGTGCATTGGATTCATACATCTCATTTCATTTCATTCACATCCCTCCATCTGCCTGCCTGCCTTTTTCCTTCCGTTCATCATTCTCTCTCTCTCTCTCTCTCTCTCTCTCTCTCTCTCTCTCTCTCTCTCTCTCTCTCTCTCTCTCCTCTCTCTCTCTCTCTCTCTCTCTCTCTCTCTCTCTCTCTCTCTCTCTCTCTCTCTCTCTCTCTCTCACACACACACACACACACACACACACACACACACACACACACACACACACACACACACAGACCTTCCCTCCATCCTCCCTCTGCCCATCCCTCCCTTTCCTTTTGGAAGTGTAGACGATTACCATGAATTCAATAAGGAAGGAAAGAAGAATGGGGCTCCCTTTGACTTCCGCTTTCACTTACTCCAATCCGTTTATCCCTGTTGGATTCAATATCTCGTACTTGTGCTTGAGGTTCGGGATTCTGCCTGCAGAACGACCATGATCATTCCACAGTGGCAGATTCTCAGGGAGGACTAGCTGCACCCCTCCTTCCTCTGCGTATGTCCGATTAAAGCAATCAGTGTAAGGAATTGCATGCCAAGCATCACTTATGTTGGCCCTTGTTATGTTCGGCTCCACAAATGTTGCTTCAGCCCACTCATCTTCCATCAGAACATGCATCATAATCATCATCTGGCGAAGGTACGACAAAGCGTAGTCACTCGTCCATGGCTGGTATATGCATCCTGCCTAAGAGAAGCAGATGGAAAGAAAAAGACCGCCACACCGTAAAGCATTGGTCATCACCAGCCGGCAGAGAAGGAAAGACAGAAAGAAAGCCAGGAATAATGCATAACAAGATGCATTTGAGATGGAGAGCAGCAAGGGAGGGAAAAAGAGACAACAGAGGCGAAGAAAGAGGAAATGGAGAACAGCATCAGCAGAAGCAGGGCATCAGAAATATGTCCTGTTTTCCTAACAAGAGCAACTTTCCCACTTCTTTTGGGACATCCATTAATATTGGAATGATACAGAGATGATAAGCATGGCCGCCATACAAGGATTACTTGCACAAATCGAGAAATACCATCCCTGACCTATACCTTTGAAATACCATCCCTGACCTATACCTTTCTTTGTGTTTTGGATAGGTAAGATCAAGTTTAGGATCTGTTTTTGATCAGTTCAAGTATTTCAATGTCCAACCCATGGTCCACTGGACCAGGAAAAGAGAAAAGAAACATCTCTGACCTGTCAGCAAATACCACAGTGACTGCAGAAGTAATGTCTTATTTGACTGGATTCTCCATTTCTGGCCAGCGATCTCTGTGATCGACAGCCAGGAACATGACGGGAGAGATGCGTGCGTGGGTAAAATAATGTTGTATTGATTTCCCTGCAGCAGAATATCCGCTTGTGTGTGAGAGATAGTTACTCAAGGATTGATAAGGAATCTTTGAATTCTCAACAAGAGAGAAGTTAAATTCAATGAACTTACTT